TATTAAGAATAATTAGATATTTTATTCGTTATATCGTACAATAATTAAACAAATAACATTATACTAGTCACTAGTCTATTCAATGCGGTACGAATTTGGCGTTAGCCTTGTCCCTCGGCATCGAAATTTTGTAGTGAAGGGGGCGATACTACGTAACGGTTTTATTGAAGGGGGCGACGATTCGTTAGAGGTTGAGAAACACTGAGTTAGACTGACAGCGCAAAAAGCAAACGAACACAACGACAAACTAGACGAGACGAACGGACCGACAGAAGACAAACGAGCAAGACCCCAAATTTTTTTATTTTTTTATTTTTTTTAACATTAACTTACTCATTAACTAAACTAACCTACCATAACCTAGGACGAACCTAACCAGACGACTAAAGCTAACAAACCCTATGTAATTTAACATAACCAGAAACCAAGCTGAGTCCCTAATCTAACTTACAACTAGGACTAAATTAACTAACCGAATTTAGACTAAAAAAGAAGACAGAAAATTAGAACTAAAATATAAAGTTGAAAGGCAGCTATACACCGACAGTTGAAAGTCATACCACACAAACATTGGATGCTAGTCTCTTTAGGCCCCTTCAGACGAAGCCATTTAAAAACAATTACATTTTTAAATCCTGTAGATTAATTAGGGCCTTCATAAAGGGTCCCACCCATAAAAAAGCAGCACTGCAAACGGTTTGTATAGTTGTCTTCGCCGCTGGTGGCAGTCACAAAAACTGGCATCGCTCATTATTATATTGATACTAGTGAATTGTCGCTTTCACACGTAGTGTCAGTCACACTACTGTTTTCATTGTTTTGTTGTAAATCATTAAATAAGATGTGGACTCGATAGTCTTTCCAAAACCAATGGATGGATCAGAATTTTCTTTCTGTAATTTTTTTTTCTATTTATGGGAAGTATCGTCAATAAACAGTCACCTTCTAACTTCACCTTCTCTCAAAGAAGACTATTAAAAAATCCAGCAACGAGTTTCTTAACTTTCCCGGCAACATTTGGTGGTGCTATCTGTTATCATATTTTATTAAAAAACTTTATACAGTATTTTTAACTATTATAAAATGGCAAAGAGCTTAATTTTGAGGGTATGGATGGATTTTATAAAAAATTGTAAATACTATCTATCTATCTATCCAGTGGCATCCTCTCTACAGAGAGTTGCATTTGATGAACTATTCCCCTCCATGTTTCCCTATTCCAGGCTTTTCTTAAATCCTTTCCAGTCCAGTCCTTGATGTTGTCTTTCCAAGTCTTTCGGGGTCTTCCTCTAGGTCTTGTCAACTGCTAAAGACGGTGATTGAGGGACTGGTGGAGGGCACCAGTCCCTCAATCACCGTCTTTAGCAGTTGTCCTCCTGATCCTCTAGCCAAATGTCCAGCATATCGTACTTTTCTTTGTTGGATATTTATAAGCAACTCTCTCCTTAAATCAACATGGAAGGCAACGGAAAACCACCATGTTCTATTTCTTTTTTCCAAGACTTGATGAACATAGAACGGAGTATAAATGTAAATACTAATAACAAGTAAAATCGTCATTAAGTCTATCTTACTGAAGATACACACGACCCTTTTTATTTCCCCACCTCCTCAACCTTTAATAATCAAAATTTAATAGCATCAACCTCCCTAATAAATAAACATCCTTGCAAAATTTCAGAAATTTTCGTCTAAAAGCACAAGGGTTATAAGCTCCAAACAGGGTAAACAAAATTGTGCCTCCTCACATACACATACCCACACATACACACACATACTAACATCCATACATACCGAAATTACCCCGAGTTTTTGATATTTAGCAAATATTTTGTACATACACTAAACGACTGTGTGAATGCTGACATTCACCGGAGAATGTTGACATTCGCCAGATATCGGTCATTCACAGTAACATATATATGAAATATTTGCTAAATATCATTATTTCTCACTTACACCGGCAAATGTCGACATTCAGCATGAACCGATGGTGAATGTTGAATAAAAATATCTTTATTACGTTAAGACAAAAATAAAACATTTTAATATGTCAAAATAGGAGAAAGGTTTAGTAACAGCGCATGAAAATAAACTTTTGAACCTAAAACGAACAGTACATTCTAAATCATTAAAGAAAATAATACAATAATAAACTTACACATAAATTATGAGTAAGTTTATTATTGTAACTCTAATCACACATAAATTATGTGATTGACGTTATGCGATCTTATTTATTGCAACAACTTAAACTGTTATGGCACTTTGAATTGCACAAGAGTCCCTTGTTTTACAACTGCATTTATTCGTGGAACATTTCTTTTTTGCAATGACAGCGTGTATAGCCTTGCCTCCACTTTTCGAATTAGCTGCAGCTGCTTCTCTCAGCGACATTTCTTGAGAAGAAATCTTATCTATGGAAAGTAACTTTTCTTTACAAATTACGAATTGATTACGTTATTATGTGATTACGAACTGATCTTTAATGACTTTAATGGTGTCTTTTATTCGGATATCGCCGATGCCTTACCGACGACCCCTCGCATCCTCCGCCACTTGAATATTGACAAACCGATTTTCATCTCACGGGATCAAAAGAACAAAAATGGCATCCAGTGACAAAGTAGTTTTCATCAAACCGTTGCCTGGAAAAGAGGTACGACCTTGTCCTACCTCCGGCTATCCACAAAGGATTTGGCGACAGACTGTCGCCTCTCTGTCGACATCGGCTTCTCGGGTGTCGTTTCGACCTCCACCAAAGCTTATCTGTGCTTGTCGACATACACCTGCGATTGTTCGAATGCATAATAATATAACCAAATATTCGGTCTTTCACTGACGTATTTTGTATGTGTCGACATTCACCAGAGAGTATCGACATTCACTAATTTCGATCTTTCACAGTAGCATAAATATATATAGAGCAACAGCATTTTCAATAGATAACAAAGCTAAATAATTTAATCTCTCATTCCCTATTGTCGATCGCAAATATGTTTTGATAAGTTTTAATTTGTTGAACCTTCTTTCAGCTGTTGCTATCGTTACTGGAATTGTCAGCAAAATTCTCAATGCAACCCCACATATTTGCAACTATATTCTGCAAATTGCTTGCTTTTAAAAATTGTAGAGTTTGTAATGGCGAATTGATGTTTTCCGGAAGTAAACTGTTTAGAGATTTAATTTTTTCGAAGAATTCGTTCCGTCAATGTCAATACTATTTTCATTTCACCATTAAGAACCGAATGCAAATCCATATTCTGTGGATTTGCATTCAATTCAAATCGTGTATTTTAATTATATAAAAAAAAGAAATACCAAGTTCGTTAATAAGTTTTTATTTGTTCAAACCTTTCTTCAAGAGATGTTAATATTGTATCTAAAATGATATTGACTATCGTTGCTTTAATAACGCCTATGCTCAGAAAGATTGATACTATTAAATTTTTGTGGTTAAAAGTCAAAGTGTGGAAAGCTAGAGCGGGATCACGGGTAACTTGTCATTTCTCGAGTGGTGTCGGCTTAATGATTTTATACGTTATTAGCATTTTCAATTTTCAAAAAATAAAACGCATCTTTACCCTCAAAATTAAGCTGTAAAATGGCCAAACATTTTTTAAAAAATAAAATCTTATAACAGATGGTATCACACAATTTTAATTATATTGCAGGCAATTCGTCGTTGAACTTTTTTAAGTTTAGACTCTTTTTTTTAACTCTTTCCGCGCTGTGGGCACTAAGAAGGCCTCTTTTAACAAACCCATTATGGGTTCGATCAAGCTCACAATGGGGCGACCGTGTGGTGAGAGACTATAAGTTTAGCTTAGTGCCGTATACTAGATTGTTTCCAGTGTCGCTAGTAGTGCTGTGCGATGCATCGATGTTTTTGTTCGTCGATGCATCGACCTTCCGATGTTTTTGAAACGTCGATCCTGAATCGATGTTAGCAATATGTGAATTTTGATTCATCGATGCATGCAGTTCATTCTTTGTTCCTAGTGTTACCACCTGTTCGGTTTTCACCCGGACAGTCCGGGAATTTCGTAGAAGTTGTGAAATTGCGATGAAACAAAGTTCTTGCAAATATGTTTACAAATTTACACTATTTTAACAGTGAATGAACTCACACTCATTGAAACTCATCCGCAACTCTGTCATGTTAGTCTGTTTACGCCGACTTGTGGAGCGCAACCTGTCGACTTCGAGGCCGGATGGCCGAACGGTCAAGGTGGCAGCCTACCGCTCTGGGGGACCCGGGATCGAATCCGGACGGGTCAAGTAATCCCCAGGAATTTTTCGGGGGGTGGTCTGTTCGGATATGTCGGGCCCCGTCCCTCACTACCCGGTCGCCCCATTGTAGGCCTGGCCGAACCCATAATGGGCCTGCTATAAAAGGCCCTCTTAGTGCCCACAGGGCGGAAATAGTAAAAAAAACCCTGTCGACTTTTTTTTGCAGGTACGATCGTACACGTATCAAATAGAGCTAAGTTATCTGTACCCGTTCTTTCTTAATTTAGGTTACTTACGTTACTCTTACGCAAGTCCCTAGTCCCTAACTGTAACTGATTTAGAACCGGCATGCACGTTATTCTTCGCATTGTAAAATGACATTGCGCATCAGGAACTTCTGTTCGAACAAACCTGGTTTTGTTATTATTATTATTTTTTAAATTGTTTGAGTTTATCTAGATTGAACATCGATGTTCCAATGGGCATCGATCAAGCATCGATGCTTAGGCAAACATCGATATTTGACATCGATGTTAAAATTATAGACATCGCACAGCACTGGCTCGCTAGTGTCAACGAGCAAGGGCATCGCCAAGGGGGGGACAGCTGCCCCCTAGAAATTCGAAAAAATTAGTTAAATGTTAAGTTTTAATTAAAATAATCTCCTCAGGCTTCTTGTAAGTTAAAAAAATGTTTTAATTAAGATATTTCTTCTGCGGTACATAGTAACTAATTAAAACTTTATGAATCGTTTTTATTTTACTTACATACAATTCACATCCTCTATCAATTTATATCATCTTGCTCCCCTGGCCCATTGGCTGGCGACGATCTTGTCAACGAGTAGACTGTCTACACGTAATATCGTTTTTACCGTACAATCTGCATAACTTAATACGGATTAACGTGGGCTAGCACCAGTGATAGCAACTTGTGTATTTTTTTCTCCTTTATACTCTTTCGCTTTTTTTTCATATGACTCCAGTTTGTAAACACTAAGAGGGCCTTTAATCAAATTCAACCTGTGTGCTGGTTGACCAAGGCCACAACGGGACGGCCGGGTGGTGAGGGATGGGTCTCGACTTATCCAGGACACATTAGTCGTAAAAAAACTCCTAGGTTTTTCCAGGAGCGGATCTACATAGGGACTAATAGGGCCTAAGCCCTAGGCCCCCAAATGACAAGGGCCCACAAAAATTGAATTATCATCATAAATTTTTAATATTTTTCATTAACAATGAGTACTTATCGTATAGTAAAAAATAGTTAATAATATAATAATACTGTAATAATGATAATTTATAGTATTATTTGTATTAACAAAAATGGGGCACATTGGACATTATCAATAAGCCCTAGGCCCTAAAAAACCTAGATCCGCCTCTGGGTTTTTCGAACGTCCAGATTCGATTCTGAGCAGTGGCGGATTCAAGGGGCGGGCTACAGGGGCTTAAGCTCTCCCCATTGACATACACACAAAAAAATTAAATTAAATTAATTCTAATAAAGACTAATATTAACAAAAAGCTGGTGTCTGTATGTCCCCTTTCATGTGACTTTCATTTCTTTGGCAAGGTTCGAAATCCTTCTCGAAATAAATTGACGGTTATACAGGGTGTCTCACTAGGAATTGACGCTTTAAAACTGCAAATAACTCCGAAACGCGTAAAAGTAAAGACAAGCTGTAAAAAGCTGAACATGCCTTATTAAATGTCAAACGAATCCACATTACAAAAGGTGTTGAAAGTGTCCTCCCCAACGTCCACACTGGAGACTGTTGGTTAAGGGGCGCCAAAACTACGGCTGGAACTAGAGCCTTAGAGGCTGCGTTCCTTACAAAAATAATTACATGACATTCGAAGCATTGCTATATAGTACTGTACTTCTTTTTTGCTCCGAGAAGAACAAATATTGAAGAAACGTAAAATGGTTTATTTTCTATTGACAGAAATGTCTGCTATATTTATATATTTTTACTTTTTACTTTGCAGAAGTTTCTAGAATGTTCTGATTTCGTTCTCTCTTTCTCTTTTGTCTTGTTGATCTTACTGGTTTATTTATTAAAATCATATACAGAATGCCTTAGCCAATACCGTATGCAAGGATTTGAAAATGCTTTGACTCAAGCCGAGAAATTACAAAACTTTTGCTAAGAAAGACAAAATTTTCCGAAAAAAAGAAGAATTCATAAAAAGAAATTATTTAATTCCAAAACTGAAGACATCATCGTTGCTATCGATGAGAAAACAAAGCTTCAAAGTTGGTGAACAAATCGTACTCTCCCTCCACATATTAACATCTACACATACAGAAATTACCCCCGAAATTTTTTGCATTTCTCGGCGTTTCAAGGTGTTCTGAGTTCAAAAATGTAAAAGTCTTGGGGGAGTCATTTTTTGACCGATCGCCATACTTTCCCTCTGTACTTGCCTAATAGCAGGAAAAGTAAAAATGAAGTACAGTACTTAGACAGTACCGTAGATAACTAGTTTTTTCTTTTTCTTTTTTTCTTTTATACTCTTTCTCAACTACTAGAATAGACAATACTAAGACAAATGTCGACACTGAATATCACCGTGTAGACCGGCTTTAATTTAACACGTGTCACCAGTTTTCCTTGTACGGAGAATAGTTAGTAACTAACTAGTACAGACTATTCGAAAACAAGCTGATTGAGTGGAGCTCTGCATATCTCAGAAAGTGCTGTCCGTGATCGAAGTTTAAAGCAACCTCATGACCACTAAACATGATTTTTTTTTTTTTTTTTTTGCAAATATGAAGTTTGGCAAGGCCAATGTGACAAAGCCGGAATTTTTAAATTTGTTCTATCTATGGCCTGAGATATTCGCTGTAAGCTGGTCGCGTGCTATATGTCAGTCAAGTTTCCTATTGCTGTCAATTTACATTGATCTCTACGACAATTTTTATTTTCATCTTTAGGACGAGCGTTTAACATGCACGGCCGCTCCCGCAAATGTGCGTGTTTTAAACTATTGCTGGATTTGGTAGGCTGCTGGTCGCACATGTGGGTGTTTTAAACGTTTCTTTACGTTTTTTGTTGGATATGACGTTAGACACATACGTCCCAGGAACCTGCGTGTTTTAAACTGTTTTAGACAGAACGTTAGAAGCATGTCATCATATTTGTGTTTTCGTGTGATGCAGAAACATAAAAACCTATTCCGCGGAGTCAAGTTTCGTTTTCTTATAAAATATCTAGTTAACATGTTGATAATTACAAAGATCAACATGTAGGTTAGCGTAGCGTAGTGGGGGCGGCGGGGCGGCACTTTTTAGGGGGCGGCAAAATTTCACAATAAATGATAATAATATCTTGTAAAAATTTGAACCATACTAATCTATATTTACGTCGCGCCTACGATAGTGCTATCGTCCGGACAGTCCGAGAATCGGCTCACCTAGTACTAGAACTAGTAATTTCATCCGAGGATATCCTGCGCAAGCTTTGTTTTTTTTGCCTGTACGATTCATTCGCATTCATATACACCACCAATATCCAATAGAGCTATTTTAAACAGATCGCTGCACTAGCACGGAATTTTTCATTGCTTGTTCTGTGACAAAACTGAATTTTAGTCTTTTAAATTGAAATACCTAAATAATGGGGGGCGAAATTTTCCTCCGCCCCGGGCGGTTGACACCCACGCTACGCCACTGACAGAGATTGAAGTAAACGATTAATTAGAGTATTAAAATTTCTGGAGAAGCCAGATCATAGAATAACTTGTTCTGTCTATTACTGTAATGCGAGTACAGTAGAATTTCTGACAGCAGAGTTAGAAACTAATTTTTGTAACTCAAATTGACTTGTTCACTGTCGTGTTAGCTCGTATTCGAATATCTAGCACAATTTATTGGAAACGACGAGAACTTTCTGCAACAGAATAGTTCTCAATCCTTGCACTCCAATACTCCCATCTTTAGTTGGAATCAGTTGGATTATTAATTTGGATTGTCTAGTAATGAAATTCGTAAAATGAAGTTCGTAAAAGTGGTTTTACTATTTAAAAAAAATGAACATTACTGTGTGACATTAATCTGGTGTAGCTTAAAGTAATTTTTAAATGAAATCTGCAGTTTATTTTACGTCTGATAATAAATAATTTTAAATAAATGTTCAGTATCAAAAAAATACATTTATACTTCTTTCCAGTTAAGGAACTATAGATATTTATAAATAAAATTACAAAGTTTATAAATTTATATCAGTATTTTAAGCAGTAAATGTTTTTAATAATGTATACAGTAAAACTTCTCTAACACAAACGTTTGTAACTCTAATATTTCTTTAACTCGAAAAAAATGAATCACTTCGTAGGTCTCAACGAAATAATATAAGATTTGACGACTCCAAGTTTAATTTCCTCAACTCGTATTTTCCCCGACACTGATTTATGTTACTTTCAACTTCCTTAACTCGAATTTTAATATTTATTCTATTCAAAGTGATCCTAATTATCGGATTTCCGTCAAATTTTCAGACAGTTAGTTGTATCTACTGTTCAACAGCCATTTTCAGACAACGTTCCAGTCCAAAGCAAGATGTCTTCTCCCTTTAGACTGGAACGTCGTTTTAAAAATCTCAAAACACACACCAAACAAGTGAACAATTATTAAATTTATAATAATTTAACTCAAACATTTTCGATCTATTATAGACCATTAGTATCATTTAATTTCGAAAATGGAGACATTCCGAAATATGATTGAAACTATAAAGCTCGAAACGGTTACAGAAGCAAAATCAAATTATAAACGTCGTAAAAATTAAAATAAATATTAATCACAGTTGGAAATATGTAAGGGTTGGTGTTGCGTTTTGAATTCAAGTAAATCAATCTTAAATAAATTACTTATATTCATCAAATGTAGAAAAAAATCTTGATGATTTCTTTAAATAATCGATAATGATCTTATACTGTATATAACAAATACACCGGTATTTATAATAGTGTGTAACTTATATAACGTATACTGTATAACACACTATTGCATGACAAATTTTTGTCTTAATTAAAGGTTTCAATATTTTGTGGACAAAAAATGTGGTATATGAAGATCGTTCACAAAAATTGAAAATCTTAAGGCAAAAATTCGTCATGCAATTAATAACATACCCAAGAATAGGCCTATGTTACACCACTCTATGCATGACATACTTTGAAGTTGTGGAGTATTTGAGCATGAATGAGGGTCACTTGCGCGATGTCAGTTTCAAAACGTAAATTGCAAACTATATTGTTTGAAATCTTGTACATGAAACAACCGCCTTTTTTCTAATGGATCCTATATTTGGACAAAACGAAATTTAAAATTCTCGCATGAGTTTAACAATAATTACGCCATTAAAAAAATAATAATAATAAAAGTTAAATTTCATAAAGCATTTTTTTGAAGCTGAAATTCATTCTCTTGTTTTCTAGATGATTTATACAATTATATACAGTCGACCTCCTATAACATTGTTGATAATTCCGTTTTATATGAATTCCATGTTGTACGAGTCAATTAGATTTTACAAATACGCGAGCCGTTCACAGCCCAGCACACGTATTTGTAAAATCTAAGTGACTCGTACAACATGGAATTCATATAAAACGGAATTATCAACAGTGTTATAGGGGGGTCAACTGTTATACAGTACAGATCTCAAGGCCTCGCTGAAGAAAGGAAGAGTCTGATTTTTTACTCGCTTGTTCTAGGAAAGTGACTGCCTACCTTCTTGTGGCGAGGCCCGCTATTTGGTGGTATGGCTTCTAAGCCACCATCAGTGGGAACACGGGCG